TTGCAAGCGTGGCTGGAACCTACCAAACGCGGGATACTCGAGACGCTCACGCCCTGGCCGAGGAGTGCTTCCCTGCTCGCGGAGTAGCAGTTGAGCGCCAAAGCCGCGATTACGAAGCTTGATCACGGGCTGTGGCCGGTACTCGGGTACAATCTAATGCTGGTCAGCCGACTGATCGCAAATTGCGGAAGGGCGCACGCACAGCTTCATCCTTTGGTGGCCGAGGAAACCTTGAAACAGCTGCAGCGGCCTTTCCCCTGCCAGCAGACGGAACGCCTGCGCGATTGCACTTGAAATAGTCGATCTGCCCTAGGTTAGACGCAGTGCCACACATCGAAGATTCTCCACAACCCACCAAAGTAGACCGAGGCCGGAGACCCTCGTACCCCGTATTTGCAAAGTTGCTGGCGGTCAGAGAGCTGAGCTTCCTGGCAAATTCGTCCGGCGATATCTGCGGGCCTGCCGAATACTTCATTCCCAAGGCTGACGTACGACGATTCGAAGGAGAGTGCGCGTTGGGCGAAGTCATGAAGTGGTCCTCGGGCGGGACATTCTCGTTCTGACCCGAAGGAGACCTTGCCAGGGGGCTTCGACCCAAAGGTGTGTCCTCCTCCTCCAAATCCTCTGACTGGGTCCTCAAGCGCTTCGAGTTCGAGCTCCGACTGGATGGTGGCAACTTCATGGGTATCGCGTTCACGACGCTCCGCTTCCGCTTCCTCGGCCCATCGTCGCTTCCAATCGGCGAAATCAGGCTGCTACTATTCGAGACGGGAGATATCGGTTCGGGAAACTGTGGGCTGGACCGCGGGGGTGTCGGCTGGGCATTGATTGTAGGGCTGCTGAGCTCGCCAAGGGCCGGTCGTTCTCGCGAGATGTGGGAGGGCATCCCCCGCGGGGTGAAGAAACGACGGAATTTCCGGGGTGTCAAGATAGCCTTCTTCTTTTCCTTGCGAGAGATGCGCGAAGGCGGGGATGAGGGAAGGGTGGGAGACGAGGCCGGCACGAGGCCGTCGCTCGGTGGCGGACTGGCCATGCCGCCGTGGTAAACCATGACGATGGTGAGTGAGGTGATGCCGATGACGATGACGACTTGGACTCAGTGAGATTATATAACTGAACAAACAACGAATACACTTTTTTGAATGGTAGAAAGCTTGAATAGCGAAGGGGTCGCCGGGCGGGCGGTGATAATCGTCCGTGGGTTATGTGTGCTGGAGGAAGAGTCGAGGTTCGAGAGACCGGGGGTGTGTCTGACGTCTGCAAAGTAGGTAGCGAGCGTACCGACCTCTTTACGCGATGCTGTCGCGCGCTGCGGCGCGTGTAGAAGAGAACGCGGGAAGGGGTGCACAGACCCACCTTTAATTGATTCACTGGGACGTCCCCATAGGCGACCCTTGGACCCAATCATATGCATTATACTCCACTAAAAAATTCAGATACGAAATGTCTGGACGGCGGCGGGGCGCATACTGAAAGGTTGGCAATCTCGAGAAAGGCTTCCCTCTCTCGCAAAACCTTGTGTACCAATCCTTCGATTCGCCCACCAAAAATATGGCGATCCAGAAGAAGCACGGAAAAGGGCGTTTGGACAAGTGGTACAAGCTTGCCAAGGAGAAGGGATATCGTGCCAGAGCCGCGTTCAAGCTGATTCAGCTGAACAAGAAGTATGGCTTTTTGGAGAAGAGCAAGGTCGTAGTCGATCTTTGCGCCGCCCCCGGGGTAAGTTGTCGACTCTCCTCGAGCCAACCGTCGAGGCCTCCAATCTAAATAATTTCACAGTCGTGGTGTCAGGTCGCAGCGGAAACGTGCCCGGTCGGCGCCCTGATCGTGGGTGTCGATCTCGCCCCCATCAAGCCCATCCCCAAGGTCATCACCTTCCAGAGCGATATCACAACCGACAAATGCCGAGCGACGATCCGCTCGCACCTCAAGACTTGGAAGGCGGACTGCGTGCTCCACGATGGTGCGCCCAACGTCGGTACGGCCTGGAACCAGGATTCCTTCAACCAGGCCGAGCTGGTGCTGCAGTCGATGAAGCTGGCCACCGAGTTCCTCGTCGAGGGCGGCACGTTCGTCACAAAGGTGTTCCGGTCCAAGGATTACAACCCGCTTCTGTGGGTGTTCAACCAGCTCTTCACAAAGGTTGAGGCGACCAAGCCGCCATCATCGAGAAACGTGTCGGCCGAGATCTTCGTGGTCTGCAAGGGATACAAGGCCCCGAAGCGCATCGACCCCCGCTTTCTCGACCCCCGCGCCGTCTTTGCCGAACTCAAGGACCCGACACCGAACAACGAGGCCAAGGTGTACAACCCCGAGGTGAAGAAGCGCAAGCGTGAGGGTTACGAGGAGGGCGACTACACCCAGTTCAAGGTCGTCTCGGCCAGCGAATTCATCCACTCGGTCGACCCCATCGCGATCCTCGGCCAGACGAACCAACTGTCGTTTGACCAGCCTCCCAACGGCGACGTGGCGCTCGCGGCGCTGGACAAGCTGCCGGAGACGACGGACGACATCCGCAGGAACTGCGCGGACCTGAAGGTGCTCGGAAGGAAAGAGTTCAAGCAACTGCTCAAATGGCGTCTCAAGGTGCGGGAGATCTTTGGCTTCCCGACCAAGAAGACGACCCAGCAGAAGAAGTCGCTGCAGGACCAGGTGGGCGAGGAGGTCGCCGAGGTCGAGTCGATGGATGAGGAGCTGCGGATCCAGCAGGAGCTTGAGGCGCTCAAGAACAAGGAAGACTCCAAGAAGAAGAAGGAGAGGAGGAAGGAAAACGAGAAGAAGCAAAAGGACATTGTGCGCATGCAGCTCAACATGGTTGCGCCCATGGACATCGGTATGGAGCAGGCCGGGCCCCTCGGCCCGGACGCCATGTTCGCCCTCAAGACAGCCGACAAGGCTGGCGGCATCAACAAGATCTCCCGCGGCAAGATGGTTCTCCTGAAGGAGAGCGAGAAGAAGGCGGAAGAGGCCGGCATCGTGTACTCTGACTCGGATAGCGACGCGGAGGAGGACCGCCTCGAGCGCGAGCTCGACGGCATGTACGACCAGTTCCGCGAGCGCAAGGCGGCGGCCGACGCAAAGTGGCGCGCCAAGCGAGCCCGCGAGGAGCACGAGGACGGCGAGTGGGAGGGCGTCTCGGGCGGCGAGCAGAGCGACAGCGACGAGGACATGGAGATGGACTCTGACAGCTCGGACGACGACAATGACGACGAAGAGGAGGACAACGGGCGGCCTCTCGTTACGGACCTGGACAACACGGCAGAAAACGGCAACCTGTCCAAGCGCGCGACGGCGTTCTTCAGCCAGGACATTTTCAAGGACATTGACATTGGCGACGTCGACGACGAGGCGTGGGGTGTCGACGACAAGCCTCAGGGAGAGGAGCCGAGCCGGAAGAAGGCCAAGACCGCAAAGGAGGCCGAGGCCAAGAAGGTCAAGGACGATAAGACGAAGGCCAAGGAAGACAAGAAGAAGGCCAAGGAGGAGAGCAAGAAAAAGGCCGCCGACGGGTTCGACTCGGACTCGGAGAGCGGAGACGACGCCGGCTTCGAGGTCGTCAAGAACCAAGAGGAGGACTGGGAGAACCAGGAAAAGCGTCGTCCGGACGGCAGACTCGGTAGCGCACCCGCCCCCCTCTCTCCTTTGCTGATCCCCTCAAGGTCCACCGACCCGCGGCGCACATACTAACACTTCCCCGCCAGACATCGACATCATCACCGCCGAGGCCATGACGCTCGCGCACCAGCTCGCAACGGGCGAGAAGACCAAGCACGACCTCGTGGACGAAGGTTTCAACAAGTACGCCCTCAAGGACCGCGACGGGCTGCCCGACTGGTTCATCGACGACGAGAGCAGGCACGACAAGCCGCAGAAGCCCATCACCAAGGCGGCGGCGGCGGCGATCCGCGAAAAGCTGCGGGCCTACAACGCGCGGCCGATCAAGAAGGTGCGCGAGGCCAAGGCGCGCAAGAAGTTCAAGGCGGCGCAGCGCCTCGAGAAGCTCAAGAAGAAGTCGGACATGCTCGCCAACGAGGAGAGCATGACGGAGAAGGAGAAGGCCGACAGCATCGCCAAGATGATGGCCAAGGCCGGCAAGGTCAAGAGGCGGCCGAAGCCCACGCTGGTCGTCGCCAGAGGTGAGTCCCCGGACCCGGCCCGAGACGCGTCGTCGTCGTCGTCGGCGGCGAGGCCCGTCACGCTAACGCGCCGCAGGTTCCAACCGCGGCATCCAGGGCCGCCCCAAGGGCGTCAAGGGCCGCTATACGATTGTGGACTCGAGGATGAAGAAGGACCTGAGGGCGCAGAAGAGGCTGGCCAAGAAGAGGAAGTAGACGTTGGCGGTGCAGCAGCAGAGGTGTCGATCATACCCCCAGTCCGAGACGGCGAGGAAGGTGATGCCAGAGGTACGGTAATCAAAATAGAGCATGGCCGGGAACAAAGAAAAGGCACATTGATGTTGAACCGGTCCTTTTTATGTGCATCATCGTGTTCTATGCCTTTTACAAGCCTAGTCAGACTGTCTGTGTATGTGCCTGGGACCAAAGCGACTCGTCCCAGCCGCCCAAGAGAGCGCGTTTCTACCCAAAAACCTAGGAAGGGAATCATGATAATATGCCGCCGCCGTGGGACAGAAGGAAAAGGTGCCGGGCCCGGTGCCGATCACCGCGGGCCGTATCGTACAGCAGCACTTTGTCTGACGGCATGACCTAGACGTGAGACGCCGGAACAAACGTAGACCTTCCACTCCCTCTCCTCTTTTCTACAGAAATCATGTGCTGCCGTCGGCGATCCCTCTCTTCACCGCGTTCGCCGCGTCTAAACATCGTACAGCCGCTCCGGCGCCGCCTCCATCCCCGCCTGGTGCACCGCCGTTTCTTGAGCCGAAAACGCCAATGCTGTCCTGCCGATCCCTGAAATTCAAAATGCCCCTCCCCTCTCCGCGGCGTGAGTATACCGTCCTGGGTGTCGTGTGAGTTGTGCAATGTCCGTCGGCCACCGGTTTAGTCGTTCTCCTGCTTGATCTTCGGTTCCTGCTCCGGTGCCCGCGGTCCCACCATCCAATCCTGCATGGCGAGCCACTCACTCCACTGGGCCTCGGCGCTCTGGATCTCCTTCTCAGTGACATTCGAAAGAGGCCGGAGGAAAGGAACATGCTGCTCGCCGTCCATGTCGTAATGAGACTTGACCTTTAGCCAGGTTTCGCTTTTGGCCGCAAACATGTAGTTGCGGCGCTCTGCCTCGTGCATGGGGCCGATGCCGCCCACCCAGTCGTCGCCGAAGAAGCCGTGTAGCACGGCGGGATAGTCGAACCCGGTGGCCACCAGACGTCGGATGTAAGGCGTCAACGTCGTGTGGGTCGAGGTCGGCACCTGAGCACCGGTTGGCATCTGAGCACCGAGTGGCATCTTGCCGGTTGCTCGAGTTGTTGACGGCGTCGAGGGTCCGGGACCTGGGCCGGCAGGCGAGTTGGGGCCGGTGTGTTTCGAAGACAGGACCGGGTTGTGGGTCTTTTGGAACGGTAGCTGGATGTTGACAAAGGCGGCCACGGCCTGGATAGGCCCGTTATATTGGGCATGGTCCAGGAAGTAGCGCAGGCACGACTGGAACTGTGGATACCACTCGAAGATGTCGAATTGGGACTCCTGGAACGGCTGGAAGGGAGGGCCGTTGAGATGAGAAGCACTCTGACCATTGGCGTAAGAGTGGCCTACCTGTGTATACTCGAAGCCCGAGGCGGCGGATGAGCCGCTCGAGTGGTAATATGCCATCAGTCCTCGAAGTGAGAACGAGGGACCACCACGGGTGCAGGAGCCGTGCCGAGAATAGGTGCCGGATACTGGGTGTGCAAACCGACCGCTTGGGTGCTTCGGCGATATCAGAAAACGGGCAGTAAGCGATGCCCAGCCAGGGAAGATGGAGAGCGGCGTCGGTCAAGGCAGAGGATGGCGGGACGGGCAAACAATGCAACCGGATCAATGGCAGGGCTTAAAAGTGCGTTGCTCGTTGCGGGTGCAGTTTGTAGTTGCGCTGTATGTCTGCAGTTTCTGCGCCGACTCGGAGGCTGGCAGAGAAGTCGAAAGAGATGCGGTCAGAAGCCAAGAACTGACGCTGAGCAAGCAAAGAAGACATACGGAAAGGGGAGGAGAAGGAGGAGCAGAACCACATGCGGAGCCTGGCCTGCATGGAAATGGAGCCAAACAAGTAACAACAGCGCCCAACAGAATAAGGGTACTCGGTCTAGGATTTGCTGGTGGATAGGAAAGGCCAGTCGAGGAGCGTTGGTGATGGGCCTTGCATGCAACGAACGGGACAACGCCTGGGTTTAATATACCTTGGTCAATGTAAAGACCTTGAGAAGGATTTTAAATCGGGTGCAAAATGGTTCCCTTTTTTTTCTTTTTTTCCTTTCCCACTCTCCCTCCTTGGGAAATGGACGGGGCGTGCTCTAAAAAGCTGGGAGTACTTGATAAGGGAAGGGGTGAGAGAGAAGGGGGGAAACGAATGAGAGAGAGATCGAGAGGGAAAGGGGAGAGGGAAAAAAAAAGGGCGACGAAGCGGAATGCGAGGCCAGAGGAAGGTACATGGTGAGTGCAGCGGGGCAGAGTCGGGAAGAGGGTACCTACATCTAAAATGTGACATGGCCATCTACCGCAATTCCTGGTTTGCATCCACTGCACACCAATCCGATGAAGCAGAAGAGGGCAGAGACACACGTGCACACCTAAGAGAAGAAGAAGAAGAAGAAGAAGAAGAAAAGAAGGACAACGGTGAACATACCTAGCGACTGCCCGTGAGCCGTACGTAGCCTATTTCGTAATATCCCACACCCCACTCGGGTCTGTGGGCGAGTGATATAAACTAGTGTTGGAGATATGGGCGAGGGAAGATGTGAGGTCAGCTAGGTAAAGCCAGAGGTCAATAACAGCACACCAACTACCTAGGCACGGTACATCGACCAACTACGTCGACCCTAAATAGCTGCTTGTAGGATGTAGGGAATTAGCAAAGGAGGTACGTATCGGGCCATGGCGTGCAAGGCCTGGTCGTCAGCTAGCCCGTAGATTTTGTAGCCATCCCGTTGATAGCGCAGCTAAATAAGTGGGTAGTGATCAACAGCTTGGTTGTGAGTGAGGTGTGTTGCTAGGTATGTTGGTTGGCGCAGGTAGGGCTCTATGGCGCATCTCCGAGTCCTGGATTGTGTTGTGCACGACGCATGTCTCGCCAGGGATGTGGGAGCAGCACTATGACCGGCCGAGGAGACTGGACGGACTGCACTTTGAGGTAAGGCAAGGCAATGCAATGCAAGGCAAGGCCCTCGAGGCATGATGGTTTTGAGAGGCGGAAGTCGGGACAAGGCGTATGATGGGATGGGATGGGATGTGGGGTGATTGGCTCGTGCTGCCCTCTTCAGGGATCTGCTGCCCTGCGAGAGTGTGCAAATAGCGCTGGCATGTAGCTTAGTTGTCGTCGTCGATGTCGGAAGAGATGGACGGCACGAACGCTGAGTGGAGGGTGAAGGCGCCGCCCCTTCTCCCCCCTCACCTCTTAGTGTTGTCGGGAAACGAAGAGGGATTGCCTTGGATACGTACTTCAGCATGAAGTTCCAGGGTCTCGACAAAAAAGATAAACAAGACAGGCTGGACGAGATCAGAGACAATGTGGCAGGGCATTCCGATCACAGGGGTGGAGAGGAGAGTATGCTGAAGTGAAGTTGCTGGTGTACGGATACATACCGGTAGTACAGGTAAATGGCATCTCCACCGTCCCGCGGGTTGACTTTAGCCGGGTACAGGATAGGGATGGCAGCCCTGTCCATGGAACCAGGTGAACACACACTACCACCGACACCCTAGGGATAGACAGCTAGCTGCCTACCTTGGCGAGGATGAGCAGGCGGGCTAGGTCAGGGTTCAAGAAGTACGGAAAAGGAGAGCCAACTTGGGACACCTGCCTCGCCTTCTCCTCGACGAAGGTGAAATCAATGAGTGATGAAAGACGTTCCGAACGTGGAAGGGGGGGCCATCAGCCCATGCCTGCCTGCCTGCCTGCCTGCCTGCCTTTGCAAACAAATCTCTGCGTGTCTGCTTGGGAGAAAAGAATGGGGATACATATTGATCTAATTGTTTTTGTTTGGTTTTGGGAGAAAAGAGCGGCCTCCACAGAAGGAGTGAGGTGGGCCCGGTGGCTACCTAGGTAGGTAGTGACGAAGTACTACAGGACGTAGGCATGTACAGTAAGTACACCCTGCCTACCTGCCTGACATACTATGTATTTTGTGCCTAACACACTTGGTAAACTACCCGAACTGGACCCTGGGCCAAGAGGAAATCGTGGATGGCGGGGACGGTGCAGTGCGGGTGTGGTGCAGGGACGTCGACACTAGACCAAGCTAGCCGGAGTCTTTACCGCGAGGAACATGATTGGGTGCAAGGCGTGATGGCACTTTGCAGGTGGTGTTGGTTTAGTAGTTTCTCGAGGGGTGGGGAAGGAGAGTACAGAATAAGAAACAAGATCCCCAGCGTAATAATGATGATAACAACAACAATAATAATGATTATTGATATTGATTGTTACCAAGCAAGGTCAAACAACGACGGGCAGTTGATCCAATCGATATGCGCCACACGCGGGTGCACTCATCTCGCAAGTTGTGGAATCATTGGGCTAGGTATCCGTACTCGGTCCAGATGCATGTTGAAGCAACCTGATCCAAGACACACACGCATTCACTCATTCACCTTGTCGGTCCTCGGGTAGCTTGTTTGCCCTCTCGTTGGCCGGGTTGGACACGCATAGCACATAGACCCGGAACGTATCACTTTCATAGTAGGTACTCGGTGCGGTGGCATTGTTCCTAGCCAGTCCAACACGGACCGAGCCTCTTCTAGGTACCTTGACGAACGGTAGCTGTCGCGACCCTAATGCAAAAGCAAACTAGGAAGGTCCCGCCGATCGAATGCAACGGGGACCGTCTTGGATACGTACTTTTGTCCTCGTCTCCACCACAAGCACAACCATGACAACGACCGTAGGAATTCATAGCATAGTATCCGTAGTAGCTCCTTCTTTTGTACGTACAGTACTTCCTATCCCTCGGTGGGCCCATTCCACCCCTGCTCGCCCCGCCTGCCTGCCTGTCTGCCTGCATGTATGCCAACTGGATGACTGCAACCCACGTGAGAGAGGAAAGGACGAAAAAGAAACCCCAAATCTGAAGAGCGGGAGACAGATTCCGATATAGCCTAGACCCTCGTGAGTCTTGCCATATTTGCCTACATCATCCGTCTTGATGTGTTCCCCGGTCGAGGCTTACGCAATCCCTCACTGCGGCGAATGACGCTGGATGAAAACGCTACTTGGTCTCCTCGATAACGGAACAGCAAGCGTCCGCATCAGCTCATTGCCGAACGTAAGACCAATGCCCTCTTCATCCCTGCTTTGTAGTCACAGTCTTCTTCGAGTTCGTCGCGATTTGGTTTAGAGTCCACAAAATTGCCAGGGACTCGAGTCTGCAGGCAAGTTGTCATACAAAAAAAAAAAAAAAAAAACCATGGGCCTCGCCGCTGATTCAAGGCGCCTTCCTTTCCTGGATAGGCACTGCTGCTCCAGCTCTCCCTCCTCCGATATAGTATCATTGCCGACGCCCCCGAACACTGTGCGTCAACACGAGTCGGCTCCGGGAGATGCACACAGGCGTGCGACCTCGTCAGGACTGGTTAATGGATGCGTGCACCAGGGAAAAAGCAAGCAAGTGTCCGGCCCACGACGATGATACTGGCTCAAGCTAGAAAGCCACCACTTTCGCCTAAGTTTCACGCCAAGGCTTATTTGTCGGGAGCGGCTTTGCTTTCGACTTGTTTGCTTCGTGGGAAGACCCTCCAGGCTCTCCCTCCCTGTTGATGGCAAGACCGAGACCCCCGTGTGAAGCAGCGCCTCTAGCAAGTATTTTGCGGCATAACCCGTGTGTCCTGCCGTGGTGCTTACGGAGAGCCCGGTTGTCCCTGGCTGGACTTTTGTGATTCTTTAAGCTATTAACAATGTAAATAAGCAAACAATTGCCAAGCCGACTAACCTATCCTACGACACCGAGGAACTTCTCGTTGTTGGACTTGGTCCTGGCAGTGAAGGCGAAATTGAGCGGTCCAAGTCATTTCCGTTGCTCTGGCTTTGTCGATTCTCCTAGTCCCCTCTGAGGTGGTGATTGAGGAAGAGAGAAACGGCAAGGGCCACCAGATCAGCCAGAGGCAAATTCAGAGATCGCGCGTCACACAACATGGGAATCCTTTGGAATCCTGTCCCGTTTTTCGAGTCCCAAACGCCAAAGAGAGCAGCCACCCGTCCGAGTACAACGGTTGGAGAAAAGGAAACGTACCCCTTTGCAGGGGCTAGTGTAGGTACTCACTCCCCTGCTCCGGCAAAGAGCTGCACGATTAGGTCGATTATTGCTAGGTGCTCCGTATTCACGCAAGGGGCCTGTCATGCTGACTCAGCGGTTGGGGCTGACAATTCACCCCCAGATGATCACATCGGGGACACCAGGGCAGCAGCAGGGCTCATTGGATGGGACAAAATGCAGGATGTGAGACACGGTCGACCGGTCGACTTGCTTGCTTTCCCATGGACTTCCCTTTTAGCCCCTACCCGGCGGTCTGGTCCTGAAGTCCGACTTCAAGCCTGGCAGGGCCTTATGCCAGCCCGTCCATGCCTTTGAGGAGGTTCTGGGCTAACTGACACATTATTTCTCCTGCTGCACAGCCATCGCCGCCTT